CGATCATTTCTATTTTCTCCTTCATATCATTCGATACTCAATTTTTTTTTTTATAAGTTTCATGATCTTTTTATTAAATTGAACAGAAATCTGAGGAGATGTTTATCATAAAGCTTTTTTTTACCATGTTTTGGTGCATCTAAAATTACTTTATAGAAAATAGATTTCATAGACTCATTCCTATTCGTAAACATAGGATTTCAACGTGAAATTTTGCACTTTATCTTGACCATTTGAAAAATACAAAAATCTCTTTCTACATATATAATTTAACGTATATTATGATTCTAGAAAGTATTCTTAATGTGACATTTACGAACTCATAAAAATTATTCTAATTTTAAAATACATTTATTTTTTTAAAAAAATCCTTTTTATTTCTAGGGGCTTTTGCAAAAATGCCACTTTTTCAATGCCACTTTTCAAAAATACCCCTTTTAAAAAACCTTATAAAAAATGCTCTTAAAAATATAAGATTTACCCAAATATGTATGTAATATTATTAAAACATACACAAACTACATTTCTATGTATCTAAAATCTTATAAATACTTTATAAATACCTTATAAATGCATTTTAAATACTTTTAAAAACCTTTAAAATATCTTGTAAAACCTTTGAAAAACCTTAAAAATTCTTTAAAATAACTTGTAAAACCTTTAAAAACACCTTATAAAATTTTATAAATACTTGGATCGAGTCTTCAAGTAGTAGTTACAATCCATAAGTACCTTATAAACCTAATAAAACTTTATAAAAATTTCAGATTTAAAAAGGGGCATTTTTTAAAATGGACATCTAAAAGGGGCATTTTTGAAAAGAGGCACACCAAAAGGGGTATTTTTAACAATTTCCCTTATTTCTAATGAAAAACTCTTCTATCTACCATTACTATTCTAATTTCCAAATAGCATTCTCAAATATTATTATTAAACAGTTTTAATACTCGATAAGATTATTTTATTTTTATTTTTGAAGTTCAGGATAGTTTTTTTTATTATTGCAAATCACCTTAATTTTTTTCAATCTATGTTAATTTTCTAAACACTAATTAATATTTAGTTTTTCTTTTTTAGGTATTCACTTTTTAATTTAGAAAAAATTAATAATATAGAAAATATACTAATATATATTATATTATAATTATAAATAATAATATGTTCTAAATTATTTTTATTTTTTAATCGGTACTCAAATTTTAAATGTCTATTTTCCAGAAATGAATTGCTTTCTATTTTAAGTAAAAACCTTTAAATTTGGTTTTTTAACTCTTATTTTCTTTACTCTACTAAATAATTGTAACTCTTAAAAAATAAATTTTGTACCATTAAAATATATGATAAGTTTCTTTTTTCGTATCTCTAACTATTTAAAAATATTTACTCATTATATGTTAAAATATAATGATCTAATATTTATTCAATCTCTATTCAAAAATTTCATATTGTATATGATCTAATATACAATTTTTTTCGTTTTTTCATAATATTTCATTAATTTTTGTCAATTATTATTTTTATTTAATGTGTGAATTAGTTTTAGTTTAATTGTTTTTGTTTTAATAAATGAAATAGGTGGAGCCCACAAAAAAAAAAAATTATGATGACATGGATGCTGATGTGGACACCCTAGATGGAGAGAAAACTCTCCCATTATATATATAGATTTGGTATTTATTAATTCTTACTTTCTTTATTCTACTAAATAATTGTAATTCTTAAAAGTGATTGTTGTTCCATTAAAATATATGATAAGTTTCCGTTTTCTTATCTCTAACTATTTAAAAATAATTACGCATTATATGTTAAGATATAATTATCTAATTTTATATTTCTCTAATCTCAATTCAAAAGTTTCATGTTTAAATATGAGTAAGATATAAAGTTTCTCCAACATAGTAAAACGTTTCTCACATTTTTCACTACAATATTTTTCGTTATCTTCTATGATTCACTCGTCGTCTCCCAACATCTACTCTCTTTTCTCCTTAGATCATTTATATTTTCTCCTTCATATCATTCGATACTCAATTTTTTTTTTATAAGTTTCATGATCTTTTTATTAAAGTGAACAGAAATCTGAGGAGATGTTTATCATAAAGCTTTTTTTTACCATGTTTTGGTGCATCTAAATTGCTTTATAGAAAATAGATTTCATAGACTCATTCCTATTCGTAAACATAGGATTTCAACGTGAAATTTTGCACTTTATCTTGACCATTTGAAAAATACAAAAATCTCTTTCTACATATATAATTTAACGTATATTATGATTCTAGAAAGTATTCTTAATGTGACACTTACGAACTCATAAAAATTATTCTAATTTTAAAATACATTTATTTTAAAAAAAAAAATCCTTTTTATTTCTTGGGGCTTTTGCAAAAATGCCACTTTTTCAATGCCACTTTTCAAAAATACCCCTTTTAAAAAACCTTATAAAAAATGCTCTTAAAAATATAAGATTTACCCAAATATGTATGTAATATTATTAAAACATACACAAACTACATTTCTATGTATCTAAAATCTTATAAATACTTTATAAATACCTTATAAATGCATTTTAAATACTTTTAAAAACCTTTAAAATATCTTGTAAAACCTTTGAAAAACCTTAAAAATTCTTTAAAATAACTTGTAAAACCTTTAAAAACACCTTATAAAATTTTATAAATACTTGGATCGAGTCTTCAAGTAGTAGTTACAATCCATAAGTACCTTATAAACCTAATAAAACTTTATAAAAATTTCAGATTTAAAAAGGGGCATTTTTTAAAATGGACATCTAAAAGGGGCATTTTTGAAAAGAGGCACACCAAAAGGGGTATTTTTAACAATTTCCCTTATTTCTAATGAAAAACTCTTCTATCTACCATTACTATTCTAATTTCCAAATAGCATTCTCAAATATTATTATTACACAGTTTTAATACTCGATAAGATTATTTTATTTTTATTTTTGAAGTTCAGGATAGTT